TCCAAGTTGAAGCGGTGTTCAGCAACCGCAGATTTCTCGGGCTGCCCGAGCCGGATGTGGCGTTCGTGCTCCTTGATCCTGGCCTCAACGGAACGGCCTGTCTGGCCGATGTAGACTTTTCCGCACTCGCAGGGAACTCTGTATACGCCAGGCGTCTTCAGTCCTAGGTCGTCCTTTACCGGCCGGAGAAAACTGGGAATTTTCTTTGGCGGAAGACCAACAGACTTGATGTCGTGCCTGGCCAGCAACCTGCTTATGCGGTTGAAGGTCGTCCCGACGTAGGGCAGGAAGGCAACCGAGGCTGGTTTTCCAGTAGGCGGTGGCAGCCTCGCAGGCGGATTGAGAGCTTTCTGAATCGACCAGACTACACAGCGCAATAACCCAGAAGACAGATATCTTCATACTCACCGCTGTGAGAACCTCAAGTCTTACAAAAGATTATCAGTTATGTCACATCACCTAAACATCTCTGTTGATGAATGCTCTTTCTTGACAATTCATAAAAGAATAATAAAAATACTTTTATAAGTCACATTGTATTGTGTATTATTATTTCATGGCATTTTGTCTTTCTTCCACTCTGCATTTCAATTTAATTCCTTAAGCCACACTTCAATACACTGGAAGCAGTTTAACAATTCTTTATTTTTCCTCGAATGTGCATGATATTACCACTCAATGAGGCATGAGATTAGAAACACAACACAGCAAGTTAGTTTCAAAGCTGCCAAAATAGAAACTCAGTCTATTTTATTCCTTCTGGGAGGATGACTTATTGGTTTCAAGACAGATGACACATGTCATAGTTAGTGTCATGTGTTCTGTGAGGAACACACATGCAAAGAATAAAAGTCTGTAAAGTATTTAGAATACAATGTTGGCAGTATAGTTGAAGACAGGACATGCATGACTGCTACAAGATAGCCACTCATCGCACTGTGACAAGGCCTACAAGGATAACAAAAATGTAGACATGGATAGTTTTTCTGTCCTCCTGACTTATTTGTTGATTTGAATACCAAGACAATGAAATGCTAAGAAATGTCTGACCAAACTGAAAAGGAATGCTGCAAATATTTTCATCCCACTGCTTCATAACTGCTGAGCTACTATGACCTCAAGATTGCTGCATAGGGAAGAACAACCAATTTCATCAGTCAACCAACATGATGTGACATAAAACTCAGTGAGCATTAGCTTGCAGAAGGCAGTGTCACATATATTGTGAAAAACAAAGGAATTAGTAGGGCAAGATTCAAATGTCCTACATGCAGTGAATGAATAAGGGGTGGCTGTCTAATCACCAAGACCATGTATGTTCTATTGAGCAGTCTCTTGAATGTTTAGTCTTCTAGCAGTCTTTCACCTCAGACAAAGTGTGAAACTTTGCTCAGTGGGGCCTGTGGTACTTGGTTTCACAAAGTGTGATCCCAAATGGCAAAATCTTGACTCAGCTAAGGCCTAACAGCCACAGAAGCTGCTTCTTTGTGAATGTAAATGTTTTCTTAATAATCTAAAAGCAGATTAAACTTTGATAATATAGAGTTGGTTGCTTGTCTTTTGTTTCCTCGGTATGATAATTCTGGAAGGTTACGATCCCAGCATAAGCCTGTAGGGACAGAAGAAAGCCACAAAAAAAGGCCAGTCTTCCCTTTATAATCAAAAAGTGAACATGCAGCTCATTACCATACCTGCATGGGTTCCACATAAACAAATGCTTTCATAACAGTAACTATTCTGAATTCATCCACATTCAAACATTACGTAATGCAGATTATTGTCATTCAGATAAAAAAAAACTTACTGTTGGACTTGGTGGCTGCAGTTGGCAGACGTCAAGTCAACGATTAACCGTAATTTCTTTGTTGCGTGGGCAACATACTGGTGTTTGAATGACCGTTCCTTGGCTTTGTGGGTCCATGTCAGACGTTCATACAGATATATGCAACCATAGACAGCACCTGTGATGAGAATTAATCTCCATCCAACTGTCTTCAGCATCTATATATAATCAGCAAACAGAAACAGCAGTTTATTACAACCACAGATTCACACTTTTTATTTGGTAAATATCTTGTAGTTATTGTTAACTTTCCATTTTTAATACTGATCACGTATCCTGTAGTAAAATATATAGGCTTTCCGACAAGTCTGGGGCCAGGACATCTCACAGACTGCGTACTGAAATCTAAATGCGGATTCCAAGTATTGTGCTATGTTTGACACTTGTGTACCACAGCACTGCATTTTCATTTGTCTTATATACTCCATTCAATTCACGTTATTCCCTCTATAAATACAACTTACAAATCCTGCAACTAGAAGTCCACCCATTGTTCCCTGTGAGCCAGTGGAAGCCAATGCTATCCTTGAGGCCATTGCTATCCTTGAAGCCATACTTGATTCATCATCTAAACTACTTGAAGGTCCCTTAATGTGCGGAACATCAACATTTTCTGAAGGTGACATCAAATCACGTGGAATCTGTAAAATAAAATCACATTTATTACAAGAATGTTCCTATTCCATGCAACAGTCTTTGTAATTATTGACTTATAAATACTATTTTTTACATGATTTATAAGAATGATTATGAATTACTGCCATACAAAATTTAAAATTTCTAGCTCAAACGGTTCATCGGGTTTTGTTCTTAACAAAACACTGAAAGAATATAATTGTATGCAGCTGACACTTATTTTGCATTCTACATATGGCCCTGAAACAATGCATGGTAACCAAAAATGAAATTAATTTAAAAATTTGCCCCTGGTGATAAAGTAGTCAGAGGAGATACAGCTCCACACATTCTTGACTTCAGCATTATGTGTGAATGGTCAGCTTCACACCTTGACCTCATACCCCTAGTACCCATCAAATAGGAGGCTGGATTACCTCTAGAACCAGTCTAGTTGATGTGGCAAAGAGAAAATCTCTGCCATTGTTGATAATTGAACCAGCCTGTCCAGCCCATAGTCTTAGTCACTATACTGACTGAGCTGTCCCAAGCCATTAACTAATTTGTTTAAGATGTGCAACTTTTGTCGAGGTAATTTTTGTTTAAATGTTCTCTTCTTTTCCCCTATGTCATTTTCACATTTGTGGGACAACTTTTGCATAGGAATCTTCAACTGCATCTGCCCATTCTTGTATTTTATCTATCATCTTCTCCTCTCTGCACCTCTCTTAACTTGGAATACCCACTGTGTGCTTGGTCTGTCTATATGTCACAGAGGTGAAGGAAATATTGAGGGAGAGAACTTATTAGACATATGTAACAGAAATGATTGGGTGATTTGTAAATGTTGTTTAAAAAAAGGAAAATCCCCAAGATAACATATGAGGTGGAATGAGAAAAAATTTTAAACCATGCTAACACCAATTACAGTAAAGTTTGCAACATACATACCCGCTGTGAGTAGTTTGCTATTGCAAGACTGCTTGCTTTCTTGCCAGCAAACCTCGAGATGATAGATGTAAGGCCCCAAGAGAATCTAAACTCCAAATCCTCATGGAAATCAGCACATAGGTTGTCACAATTCAAGCGATATAAAATCTCGAAAGGTTCTCGTCGAGGCAAAACATTAAGGGAAACTTGCTTCTTGTCTGCTGGTAGAAGAGCTGACATTCGTTCTACAAACAAAAGGACACAAACCTTTCCATATCAAATGATTACAAACATGCTAGATGGATTTAAAATTATATTTATGATCACTAAAAATTCTGTATTTCAAATCACCATATCAGGGCTTATACAGCTTATGTGAAAGATATTGTTAAGTCTACTGTTGCATATTGTATATTCACATGTACAGCATTTAGTGCTACCCATATCCGATCAGATCAGATTTTTTTATGCAAGACAGAGTGCAAGTGGTGTTTCGAGAAATATGGTATCTAGAAGAGGGATGGTATATGGGATGAATTTCATTTCCTCTCACCCCAGGATGTTTAAAATAACATGAAAATAATCTTCTTAATAAAAAACTTGATTTCCAAAGATGATTTTGTAATCAAAGAAACAACATTCATCACAACAGCATAGTTGCTTTATTAACGTATGAAATAAAATATAGTTTCTGAAAAAATTATTTTATAAAAAATCTCTTCCCCTCCATCTTGAATCCTATACATGATACTGGCTTACACTATAAAATTTATACAAGTTTTATATTTGAAATGGAAAATACAGGACTTATTCATTACCTGCCATTTCACGCTGACTGTTCTCGATATTCATTGAAAGTGCTGTGGAAAGCCTGGCACGGAGGTTACTACCCAACCCATTTTCGACATGGAGATGTAGCTCTTTCTTATACACATTTAGAACAAGTTGTTCAGGGTAGAACGGCAAATTAAACTCATCCACCAGTACAGCCAAGCGACGGATCTCTTCACTTAATGCTTTGGACACCTGACCTTACAGAAATCTTGCATTAAAAAGATATGTTTCTCCAGTATGCACTATTTAGCTCATTCTACTTATTACATCTATCTATTCTATTAGCAGCTTAACCCAGTAGTGGGTCACTGCCACCTCCTTTTGGAGGTTTCATAGTCTTTAAAGAGTGCATTTATGAGTAGTGTGTGACCAGCCCACTGACTGATTTATTATTTATGTTTATCTCTGCATGTAGTGGTATCCAACTACATCACATATTCTCACATAATTAACTTTACAAACATCTCAGAGATTCTATGCAGCTTGTAAGTAAAATAAACAGCAATTAAACAAACACAACTTACTGCAAAATGCATAGAATGCCATCATGTTACATGCACAGTTGACATAAGATACACAACTGTGCTGTGCTCATAATGTTCAGCTAGGATATGAAGAACGAATGTAACCAACTACATGGAGCAAAGCCTTTCTTCAGCCTAGTCATTCCATCAATTTTATGAAATCAAAGGTCTGTTATCATGCTCACAAGAGCCCACAACTGATGTAAAATATGACAAAATCCAGTCATATAGATCCCTATGAAATAACTTCTATATATAACTCACCCTTTGTTCAACATCTTCAACCATTCGCCGTATCTTGTCTTTCATTTCCTGAGTAATAAGTAATAGCTGCTGCTCAGTGAAGTTCAGTTTGTCATGAACTTCTTTCTTTGCTATAGTTTTCTCTCTCCTTAGCTGCTGTGCCTGATCATATGCCCCATCCATAATTGAACGTATTTCTGAAACAATAAGCCTTCCTCGCTGCGAATGTTGCTCAAACTTTGTCCTCACTGCTGACTTTGATATGCATTCTTCAAACTTTCTTTCAAAGTCTTGGAATTCAAAGTATCGGTTTGGGAAGCCATCTGCTAATGCACCACCTATGACAAAAATAATTATATTTAAATTTCTATCAACATTAAGAGACAGAGAGAATGTTAGGATTTTCTCTCATGGCATCAGGGAAGTTTTATACATCAAGTCCTTTTGAAGAAAAGGGCAGATATTAACATATTTGTTATTTAATGTGTTCCCTATAATCTATATTCCCATGACAGTACTCTTGTGTAGTGTCATACAGACTTCATGCAATCTCTTCCATTTCCCTCCACAAAATATTTCACATATTACCATTGAAAGGTAATATAGTGATGTAATACATAGCGATTCAAAAGACCTTGCACCTGTAAGAACACAAATATATTTCTCATGGTTAACTTACAATTACAAGAAGCTAAGATCACTGTAACATGACACAATGTGTGTGCCATCTATGGCATGTGCAAAGGGACTTTTGAATAAACCTGTAGTTTTATTCTTACTATGGGCAGGTTGGCCTTTTTGTTCCTGCAGACGAGCCTGCAATGCCTCTTTGGCTGACACGAAGAAGATCCTTTCATTTGCCTCCTTCTGTGTACACACCTTCAATTCCTTGACCAAAAAGTCAACGCCTCGTTCCATATGCTGTACCCGAACCTGCAAGAATATATTCCAACATTTGGGAAACAAAATAAAAATTACACAATCTAATGAAATTGCCACAATGCAGCACATATATCTAAACACAAATAAGATGAAACATTCTTGCTTTGATATGTCAAAGACTACTGGTAGTAATGTTCTGCAACAGAATGGATCTTAATGATGTGATGTGAAGCAATGCATACATTTTTTAAATCATATACCATAAATGTAATTAAACTTCTTTACAGACCAGTTATATTTCCTTGATGCACAAACTTATGACAGCATAAACTAGTTAACAGCACAGCAGATTCTTTCAAGAGATGCTAATAGCTGTTCAGCTAGTCAGGACACTCCGGGCCTTCCAGAACCTAAGCTTCAATATGTGTACACACAACAGTACATCACCAGTCCCTATCCTAAGATATATGAGTATGGTTCACTCCTTCCAGTCTATTTCTTTAAGTTAAATTTTAATATTATCCTTCTATCTATGTCGAGAGCTTCCAACTAGATTCTTCCCTACAGGCTTCCCAACCAAAAATTCGTATGCATTTCTCATTCCCCATCCATGCTACATGCCTCACAAATCTCATCCTCCTTGATTTAATCAAGCATTAGATACATAAAAATATAATTCTTTTTGAACATGCTATAAAAATTGAGGAGAACTGTATCACTTTCATCTTCAGGTTAGAAGGGTGGCCTGACTCACTTTTAGCCTGAAGGTGGAAGCAATACATTCCTTCAAAACAGTAGTATCACCTACAAGGCTACACACTGTCACAACCGGTCATCGACATGGAATAATGGTTCACAGATTATCAGCTCACATTAAGAACTTTTAGCTACTGGACCAGCTGAATTTTTAATAAAGAAGTTCAGTCTGATTGTTCTTTATGTTGTGAATTTATTACATAGCATTTTTTTATATTACAGAGTATTGGTGTGAAGGTGAAATGCCTAAATATTCTGTTACCAGCAACCAGAGCAGTTTATTAACCACATTAATGGATGTGAGATTTTTGGTTTTTGTGATGATGAAGCTCTTCTGGATTTTAGTTTCGTGTAGACTTGCAGGTAGATGCCAACAATTTGGAGAAACATACTGTCTCCATTTGCAATCCTGAAGATGAGGACAGCATATTTATCTGAAACACTGGCATCCAATGGCAAGTCTAAAGTGCCTATTATTTATACAGATGAATACAGTTTTGGCACTTCATATGAATAAGATTTGTATTAACCAAACAACTGGTACAAAATATTTGCTTTTAGCACTACCTACCACTACACACAGCATATCAAATATATGTTTGGGGACAGCAACAGTACAAGTGCATCAGGTATGTTAGGGTGAAAAGTGTGATTTAGTTAAATGAGGTACATTAAAAATCACAATGGAGAAAACCAACATAATACAGACAGAGAGTCAATCCACTAAGCAAGTTGAGAGCTTACTTATCCACATACAGAAATTCTGTGAAAATTTATCTTCTTTAGATCCTTAACATGCAGTGTCCTGACTCTCTCTTTTCAAAATTTTATATTTTCTACAGCTTTAATGCATTTCAAAGTACTACCAAGAAATTGAACCTTTCACTAAAATTTGAAAAATGTGTTTAAAAACTTTAAGACAGAACTAATGAAATTCTATGAATTTTTAATGCAACTCTAAGAATATAATACATATTTTCTTTAAAGATGGTGCTATAATTTCAAACAAGACAGAAGCGAGAAGCAAACATTAAAACAATATATTCTGATTAATAGGCTTACCTCGCTCTGTTCATTTCGATGCTTTAAAAGGAAAATGGGAAAAACAAATTATTAGGCTTGTCTATGGACTTATTGCAATACCACCTTGCATACACTTGCTAGAACATAGCAATGTACTGTTAAGAACTCAAAATCGGAGCACTTGAGTATGCAGTAGCTAAAACGCTTTAAATTAATCTTTCTGAGACTTCAAAATGATAAAAAAAACTTCAGTGTTATGTAATAAAGACAAATGCATGGGCTTGTTAACTGTAATCTGATCATTAGGATATGTAACTAGTCCAAATAAAGAAATCTGCATGTCACTGGTCAAATTGTAGAAAATCAAAAGGTAAGATCACACAAATCCTGAAACCTCTTGTGGTCACCTCTCTACGCAGAGACCACAATCAATGTTGCTCTAAGTATTGTTAATTAATGGGGCTATACCCAGAAGATACCACAATGAATAACACTGTAAACACCAAAACTGTAATAACCCATTCAGTGTTAATGATTAACTGTTACACAGTGCTACATTTATTTAACATGATGCAATAACCGCTGATAATGGCAAAAGCTCCATCATGTCTTTAGCCTGTTAAACATATATTAATAGTTATCTGTAGTAGGAAATCCAAAATAAGTATGGATTTTTTGTTAATAAAAGGAAAAAAAACTGATTACCACACCGAATGTTGTTTAACAAACTGCAAGATCTTGTTGCCATTACTTTGTGTGAAATATATGTATGCGACTAAGATAATAAGAAAGGAAAAAATACCCCCTGAGAGGATCATATATATAATTGGAACTCTGGGGAAAAGGTTGGGAGGGTATATAATGGCCCTAGGCAATGATGAATAGTAGGCCTTAGTTTTTACAATGATGAATCTTCAAGTCCTGTTCTAAAAGGCAAATAAATTAGGAAAGAATTTTCATGACAAAACTGGTCCATGTTGGAAATCCAATAGCACAATTTTCATAAAAACTAAGCAGAAACAGATCACGTGGAAAGCAACTTCTTTAAAAAACCAAAAAATATAGCTTACTAACTTATTCACTGCCAAAATAAATATTTTTCAATTACTGAATATGCTTTAGTACTGCAAGTACTGGGAAAAGAAATTTAGCACACCACTCTTTATAAATTTATCTTTAAGCCCCAGCATTTAATTATAACCCATTTTTAAATTCCCAGCAATTAATGTGTTAATAAATATCGAAGTTAGATGCAATTTACTTTAGCAAGTGCTCTGATTTATTTTAAAATCTTCACACAAATACTGAATTAATATGACATATCTTTATAACATGAAACATTTTTGGCTTAATTTGAAGTTACTAATTAAATAATAATATATGACTGGAATTATATCTAAAAGAAGCACAGGTATCTTAAGTATAAAATAATGTGGAACAGAGGACAATAAGTACTTGATGCAAGTAGTTCTATGCTCCAACAAAATTAAAACTATGTGAAGGTGAAAATACATACACCATAACTAAGACATACAAAAATAGATTATACAGACAACATTTACTATTTACCTGGTCTAGAAACTCTGGCTCAGAAGCTGAGGCATCCCAACGGTTGTTCAGAATAAAAATATTAGGCTTTGACAATCTTGTAGATACTTTGTGGAAGAAGTTCTTCTCCTGCAAAGGACAGAAATCTGTGCATTATCCACAAAGCCTGACTGTAGAAAACACGACTAACCTTGATAAAATGCTTCCTGTTATGTCCTTATCAACCAACCTGGCCTACCCAGATGAAAGATGCTACTTTATTTTGAACATTTGGTTATTTATTTAAAAAAAAAAAGAGCATCATCTACCTTCCATCATCAGGTGAAGGTAATACAAGAGAGAACTGCCTACTCTAGTGGATGCCCTAGATCTAACAGATTTAGTTCCTGAATTGTGTGTTTTAACAAATAACCAAGACAAAATAAGTTGAGCTTATTGCAACAAACTACAGTTATAACCCTTTAGACTTATCAAGGTTGCAAGTACTTTCAACTCAGTATTTACAAAGGTTGCTGATTGCAGTGGAGGTGCGGTCTGAGGCATGGGTCTCGTGTGCTTGGACTGTGGGTTCAAATCCCACTCAAAGCATGGATGTTTGTTTGTCTGCATCTTTCTGTGTTGTGCTGTCCTGTGTACAGGTAGAGGCCTTGCAACAAACTGATCACTCATCCAAGGAATCCTACCAAATGTCTAAATAGATCAAGAAACCTCCAAAAGGAGGCACCTATGCTTCATATAGAAGTGAAAAGGGTATTAATTAAAAATAATTTAAAAGGTTGTACAAATGAGGCACATTTTACTCACTGTAAGCATAAGAGTAGATTCTGCATTGGCTACAAGCACAAAGACGTCCGCATCCAGACAATGCCTATCAATCCACTCATCCAAGTTAGGTGACACGTCAATTCCAGGAGAGTCAACAAAAACAACATCATCCCTTAGCAGCAGACATTTGTCTTTGGGCCAGTAGATATGCACCAACTGACTTTCTCCCAACTTTTCCTTACATAAGGCATGAGCAAGCTGACCAACAGACTGAAACACAAAAAGACAATGAGTACTAAAGGAACAATGCAATAACTATGTAACTCCATGGTACAAGGCACAAGATTTTGTCTGAACAGCTGACAGTTCACAGTTGAGCAAAATTGTCTATTACTAAATCTAAAATATTTTCACCACTGTTATCACAGAAACCCTCAACAGCAAGCTTATCCTAAGCCAAGTCAATCCAAAGATGGGCTTTAGTGCTGTGTAGTCTTGTACAAGCTTACCAACGTTTAAGAGGTCTCTGCTACCTCCATCATCAGGGCGATAACACTACAACCCACAAGACAGCCATCTTCAGACTCACTGCCATGAAAACCTCAAATTCTACTTACAGGTCAATCCAGTTCACATTTTCATACCACTTCCAAACCATGCGAGTAGTGTTTCTGATGTATACAATTTACCTTTACATTCTGTTTCTCTGTGGAATCCTCTGTGACAAGATAAGAATCTCCACTATCTGAGCCTTCCACTTGTAGGAAACAATTAGTCGTATGACCAATACCACTCGGAAGAATTTTTTCACGCAACATCGCATTAATTACCGAGCTTTTACCATTGCTTGTCCTGTAAACAAGAATACGGTCAAAATCTATAACACAGTAACTGGATGAGAGGTACATTTAAAAAGCAGACAATACATAAAAATACTTAACAGTTTGAACTGTTTCAGATTCCTGAATGGTGGAATATGTTATCATGCAAATAAAGAAAATACTATCTCTATGCTCAAACACTATACCATGAACAAGTGGCACACAGGTTTAACTTTATTATTCTTAATTACCAACCACCCCACTCCTGTTCCCCCTGATGAGGAGGCAGAGTACACTACAGTCACTTTGGATACAGACAAGAAGAATAAATCATCATGGAACTATACAGACAGTACAGTTATGAAGCAAACTTATGTCACTGGTTGGCCAAGGAAGAGCACTGAACTTATTGCCTGAGCCTGCACTCATAAGAGTCCCATGAAAACATAAGAATCTCAGACTGAAAACATTATAATGCTCTCCTACAAGTCATTACCTCCCGAAGAAAGCCACCTTCATGTGATCCCTAGTAAGAACATCTCGTATCCCTTTCACCTTCACAGTGTAGCCCTCAATTTGCTGCACAGCATCAGAATTTACTATGCTTCCTTCTTGCTGCAAACCTGCAACATCATACAACACCTAGAATCTGACGAAGCCATCATATATTTTAATACATTTATTATTTTATTTATTACTGTCACATTTCTTCCTTTGCTGTATACCTACAATGGCATCACAAAGACAACCATTAATACATACTTCAGTATATTTACTTTGCACAATGACATCCCAAGCATAATACTATGTTTTCACTGTGAAGGATGCAATCTTTAACAGCTAACATGTTGAATACTATGCTGTGAATAACAATTTTCTTATATCAAATCTAAAACTTCTTGACGATGGTGAAGAGTCAATTGAATAAAAATTTACTTGGATATTATCCATCGTCTAGTAAATATAAAACGTAAAACGACGTTTCGGAGATGGGACTCTATCTCCGTCTTCAGGTTCCTACACAGTTGGGCCCACTAGATAGAGCTAATCCCTATCTCCGGACTTCTTGGATATTATCCATCGTCTAGTAAATATAAAACGACGTTTCGGAGATGGGACTCTATCTCCGTCTTTTCTTTCCTTCCAAATACAGATATGATGTTTAAATTTCAAATCAGCACATTAATAAATAAGAAATGTAAATAAATATCAAAGTATCAGATACTTTAAAACTTATTTTATATATTGTGCCAAGACCCCCTTTGGAATGTTTTGCTTACAAAATACTTAATTTGTTACTTACTTTGCATATATGTGACAGTATCATGGACGTAATCTTCAATCTCCACAAATATGTCATTGATCTTCTTCTTTGCCTTGACAAAGATCTGAAGAGGGGAAGAATCACGTAATGACTGGGAATCAACCAGTGGTCCTACATCTAAGGATGGGCCCCGGGTTCTGGGACTGTCCCCAGACATCAGTGATATTGTGCGGTTTATATATGCAGCCATAATTCACACTAACAGGTAAATAGGTGCTCATGCAGGTTGCAAAACTGAAACAACAAAACAAAAACAAAAATTAATATACAAAAGCAAGCCATGGAGGTATACAAAAACTAGATGATTCATTAAAGTCTGTTTAAGAGAGTAAAATACAATACAGACATGTATTAAAACACAAATACAAAAGGAAAAATCTGATAAAGAAATGGAAACAAGCATTTACTTTTCGTTATTTAAAAATACTGTGTCACACTGCCTTAACCCTTTGATGCCAAAGCTTGTGTAAATAACATTTAAACATTCAGTTCATACCACAAAGAAAACACAACCCATAACCATTACAAAGATCAACTGGTTGAAGGAAATAATCACACCTTACTCTGACAATTATTTGAAACTGACAATATATATGTGGGCAAAATGCAAAGTTGCAGATTGTTAAAGCAGATGGTACACAGAGTTCCCACTAGACTTAAAAAGATTTATAAGCAATCATTCACTGCCTGCCCAATACTAAAGTCAATGTTTAACAAAAGATCTGACAAACAGCTAAACTGATTCTTTCATGCGGCAATTGCCAATACTGGTAACCTAGCATGCAGTTTAGTGACAAACTGTCATTTTTATTCGGTTTGTTTCATAGTTGCAGTGTTTTATCAGAACATAGGCAATTAACTGTTGCAACACAGAATTAACATAAAACATTTAGTGAAACTGGAGGAAAGTGTGATAACACATACACAGAACAATACAGCAAGTCTATGCATATGGAGCAATGAGTATATACAGGCTTTTGCATGTGTCATGAGATATGATGGACACAGGAGAAAACTATAAAAATTGAAATAAATATGGAGAAAATTATTAAAATGGTCAGGAATGTTATAGATTGATCACTTGGAAGATAGTAAAATCATTCAATATGAATATAGGAATTGTAAAACTGATTTTGACCAAACATCTGAACATGAAGAACACTACACACCTAATGTGAAGAAAAACATAAATAAATCTCAGTAACTTCCCTAAGGTATGTGACAGATTCCAAGGCAAAATGAAAGTGCAGACTACACCTAGCTCAAATATCCATATTTGCTGGTACAGAAGTGGTCAGTGTATGAGACTAGCACTGAAGCAAAGGGGTTAAATATGAAAGTATGAGTAGTAATATTAGTATACTTAATGCATGTGTTGAATTCTCACAAATACTCATTTAAACTGTCCACCTGCATATTATTCAACTTTATGTTTCAAAATTTGCATGTGGAACTCATACCAAGAGCAAATGGAAATGGATAATTAGCTATGTAGATTGTGATATCAGAAAAAGTATGTGCAATTATTAGATGTTGTAAAGCATATACAGTCCAGTAATCTCATCTTGTACATCCTTTGACTGCCCTTAGAAACACTTTACTGCTGACTGTAGTCAACTTATGTCTTTGCTTGTTAATTGTCCATGTCTCACTGCCATACTTTAAGACAAGGAGAGCCATAATGGAATAAAACCTTAGCTGTGAATCTTGTGTAATTTTTCCTTTCAGCATTCTCTGAATTGTGTCACAAATAACCTGAAATTCTGGAACCTTCTGATTTATGATTTGGTCCTTTTCATTAGTCAAATCACAGCCAAGATATCTGAAATGTGATATTTGTTCAACTCAAACGTCTTCTATAATAATTTTCATTATTGTTGGGAATTTTCTGTGGAATGCTATTAAATATATTTTCCTTGATAATATTTTAATAAATCCTTTGCTAATTTTATGTAGTTCAAACACTGCTCTCTGTAGCCTCTCTTCCTTATCAAATATTAAAACCACATCATCTGCAAACAGCAGCATCTTCAATCACCGTCTTCCTATATTTATTCCCTTATAAACTGTCTTTTCTCTCTTTTTCAGTTCTTTCAGAATGTTGTCTAAATATATATTAAATGAAATCAGGAAGACACTACATCCCTATTTAACTCCTCTAGTCATACCCTTATTTTAGGGACAAATTTTTAAAAATTTTCATTTTCCTACAGCATATAAAAGGTGATGGTACGCCATAAAAAAAGCAATGGACTAAGGTAGCAATGGACTAAGCCTGTGTGATGATAAACACACATAAACGATGCAACACAGAAAGACGAAGCCACATGCAAATCACTGACACAAAATGAAAAATGCCTCAATACTGAAGCAAACTGGCAGCCTAGACCAAATTTACAGGAGGTTATACGTCTAACCTCTCTTAGTATACCTGCTGATTCCAACAAAATGAAACTAACCTCACAGTGTGAGCAAATATAGCACCATACTTGTTATTACTAGAATACTGAGACAGACATTTCATACATGAGAAGCGAATAGTATTTACATTCCATAAATCCTTCATAGGCAATAAAATGCATAACTTGTACAATGAAATGGGAAGGAGGAAAAAAGCCAACATGAGTTTAATCTGATATTACTATTAAATTAATGTGGCCTTCAGCTGTTTTCATCACATGTACAAAACTGGTAACATGGAAATTTCAGATATGTTTAGTTTCTCCAAAGACAGGAATTAAAGGCAGTCTTCTTATTTAAAATATAGTGGGGACCAAACATGGACATTATAGACACCTGTTAGTGAATTACACAATATTTATTTTCATGGGTGATACTAGCTATCCACTACAAGGATATTTAAGCTACAAATTAACACAATATACATAACAAGCCAAACATGCAATACACAAGTAAATGTAACTATCTGGTTACTGATTCCCCAGTTTATTTTGACTCTAGTGATCTGTAACTCCATAAAATATAACAAATAATAATATAGGCAAAAGAAATTTTAAATAGCCTAAAAGAATCTAAAATATTTTTGATACCTATACTTCTTGTTTGTCAATGAATGCCCACCTACTGCTCAGGTATTTAATCTAAAGATTTAACAATGCTAATATACACTCATTATTAGATATCACCCAGAGCCACTTAAATCAAACTGGTATTATCCTAACCTACTTCATTAATATTGACTGTAATATTATTATTATTATTCTACTGTCTTTAAATCACATATTCAAAGTTTTAAGATATTAAAAGAAGTTTTTGCAACAAAAAATTCTATGTACATTTTTTCTTTCCATCATCATCTCAGCTACAATATCAATCTGCTTATTACACTGACACTGTTATCAGGTTCAGGGCAGTATTCCAATATTGGACTTTATAATGACTGATGGAAGAAGAAGGGGGAAGGAAAACAGGGGGAAGGGAAACAGAATTTCTAAACTGTCTAAATATCAATTGCTCATGGAAGATCCCACTCAATGAAAAGATGAAAAGTATATCCCATCGAGTACTTCTGTAATTCTATTAACCTTCACCCTTTTCGCTGTCCCTCTGGTCAAACAGATCCTATCTTTAGTGTGATTAAAATATTAACCAAGGTAAACTGTAAAATCAGTAGGCTACAAAATATGCCAAAACCATATTTACAAATGATGTAACAGAAGTAAAAAAAACAAAAACAATAACGGCAAAAATAATTATTTGGTTCAAGAAAGTGCTAGAACCTGTTCATTTCGAGGCATTTTTTCAATCCTATATGCAGTCTTTTAATCTACACCACAAGGGACCTTTCTGGAAAAGAGAAATTATAAATAAGTTTGACATTAAATGTGAAATGTGTTCACACATCATATTATAAAGAAATTGAATTGTAATCTCATAATATATTTTAATCAACAAACTGTAGTCATTACTTTCACCTTCTTGTGCATGTTAAACATTTAATTCAAACTAACAGTCACTATAAATGTTAGCTGAAGCAGCGCTCATCTGAAAACCATAAAGTGAATGCTTGCTACCGTGGCCCAAGCACACGATAACTACATTCAAAAGTTTTTTTTCATATTTCAACCCCTAACGACCACGATTTTAACCTTCCTCCAATGACCACAAAAGGCGGTACAATTACCGCATACGGTAACTTAGAAGCAAGAGTGACGTTGGTACTGCCTAACACTCGACAAGCAGCCGCACTACGTGACAATTTCGTGGTAATATCACGACTGCATTATTGATACTTGACCACGAAACCCATGTGCTCTAACCTAATCTCATAGTGCCATGCTTGATTCTTACTCTCATTCGTTACGGTCGTTCTAATCACACCCAAACACAGCTGTGGGCAAGCCAACAAGAAAAGCCGAAAATCAAGTATGGTTTCTACAACTTCACCTCTCGATATTTTCGTAACACTGCAAAATCAGCTTCAGAATTAGTATTCAATGCCCATTCCTCCACAGTATGTCTGAATTCTGAAACCATGTTATCCTTACATGTACATGAATTTTTGTTACGGTAAAATAAATACGTACTGCGTTTCAACTCCTCGAAGCCATAAGTTACAAACACTAGAAACACATCACGACTGGATTTTTAAACATAACAATAATCGGGATACAAGTATTATAAACTGTATTTCATATAGAGTAATAAAGCTTAGTCACATTCTGTAAGTTCCACTTACCTTATTCTTTCTCAACAATCCCTGGGGAACCAAATCATTCTTACAGAACATAAAAATTTGGAGATCTAAGGCAAGTCTGGAAACTGCGGAATGGGACACAGTTAATACCAACTTGGGCAATGTGACCACAGATATTACCAACAGTTTATAATTACCAGCAGGTCTGTATATGCTGTTATTTGTGGTACACACCACAATTAACCTACCTATGTGCAATTGTCTATGACGGTAAAAGCGAGGAAGTTCTAGTGATATACAGTTCACGTAAACAACTTTAGGATATTTAACTATTAGGGGGGAAAAACAGTGTGTACAGAAGTCATGATTCGTAGTGGTATTAAGAAAACATCTGAAGCAATGACGAGAATAATATTACGCGAGACGGTATGTATGACCTTCCGGAACCTGGTAGATTATGATAATCGAGAAACACATGAGAAAGTTTATACCGGGTATTCGAAGTCAGTTCATCCAAAGGTCCTGCCTAATGTATAAAGATTCAAAGTTTAGAACTGTTTGAATCGGAACAGGTCGGAGAATCTAATCGATGAAAGTGTATAACATCACTTCCTTAATCGAATTTGTCAATGCCACCACAGTGTGGCCAACGTTTTAAATTTTGATGATGCTTTATATACATAGAGCATATAAATCGCAATATGTACACTTGGCTGGGTTTTGGATATATACTCTGGTTCAGTTTGTGCTTAAAATTTAGCATTTATATACTTGAGTTTGAGAAGTAACCTAGCTACCTTTTGTGTGCAAGGAAAAACTGTTATCAGCTCCAAGCATACAGTTCTGTGCAGTCTCATGCTTTTTATTGGTTGTCAGCATACTCACTGATGTGATCTCCAACATGTTTGCTCATGCCCCCAAACCCAAAACTTTCCAAGTTACCTGCCACAGATAACATCAAATTCCCATCTCCCATGATTTACTTTGCTACAGTCAAGACTGAAGGATCTGAAGTTTGTCCCTTAATTCAACATTTCTGTCACCCATATCCTGACACAACAGTTGTATTTACCACAAGTTGAACCAATATTTTATCAAATGGTAAATATGTGCTCATAGACATCACTGTTGCAAAGTGTTTATAAAAAAGTTGACAGTGGAACCACGGTTCTAGAGAATCTGATGTAAATATGTCTGTAATGTAATAATTCTTAAATTTTTATATAAGTACTTGTGATATTCTAAAACGTTTTTACCAGCACAAAATTATCTAGTCTGTGACACACTTCTTCTACAAGCGATTCACAGCTCAGCTCTTTCCACAATAACAAAAGCGGACTGTTGATGGAAGTAATGTAACACAACATTGCCGAGTAAGCAATTAGTTTCTTAGGTAACATAACAGTGCACATAGGAGTTCATATAAAAGCTGACCATTGTTGTCGGTCCATATTTACACATTGTTGATATGGAACTTATACAACTTTGTTACGCATCTTCGTTACGCTTTTTGCCGAATGACCCTTCCGTATA